GTCTTTCCCCTGCTAGGCCTTTAGTGTGGGGAGTTGAGTTCATTTTTCTAGCCTGGAATTGAGCTGTGGTTTGAGAATTTTTTGTTGACGTGGTTATCTTCCATGTGCCGCAGACTTCACGTTCCCCTAGCAGTTCCTTGTGTGTAGGGTGGGGCAGGTCTGCAGAGGTGATTCTTAATGTCTGCCCCACCTTCAACTTTAGATCGTCCCTTTGCGTTGTGCCTCAGAGAGGATCTTCACACTCTCACAGCTCTGCCAGCCATATTCCACTGTCACTTGTCCTTCAGTGCTTTTTAGCCTATTTGAGAGGGGAGGAGGGTGCTGGCCAGGACTCCGTAGTTGTTTTGGGCAAGCCCCAGTCTTAGGCAGACAGCTGCCTTCCCACTGCTCTGCCCTCCCCCAAGGGTAGGGCATTTTTTTTTTTCTGTTCCCTTCCCTTATCTGCACTGACTTTCACCCAGGCCCTGAAGTTGACAGGGTTCTTTGTGTGTCGTGCTCCCTCCTCCCCTCGCATTAAGGCATTTGTTTCATAGGAGAGAAGGGTCTGGGTGGGGTTACCTGCCCCTTCCATAGCAGCTGCCGTTACCCTTTCCCAGATCTATACCAGGAGGTCACTTTTTCAGGACTCTCACTGGTCTTTTATGTGAGTACCTGGTGAGGTCCTTGGAGAAAAGCCCGCAAGAAGACGTGAACTCTAACAATACCCCCACACTCTCTCGCCAGCCCTCACTGAGCCCCTGCCAACTCATTCGTTAGTCTAGCTAAATTCTTAACTAGCATCTGGCTGCATCTGCCCCAGGTAAGGAAGTCCTCTCCTGTCTCTCCCTGTATCAGCCTGTATCTCCTTGGATTTTAGACTACTTGGTTGCCTTGTGACCCCACCTGTCTGATAAGTTAAGAAATGTCGTGACCTTGTAGTTTGCCCTGCTTTTGTTACTGGTTTTGTTATAAAGGTGAGCGTGACACTTTTTCCAGCCCTCTACATCCTGAGTAGAAACCTCCTTCAATAATTGCTTTTGAGTAATTCTCTCTAGCCTAAGAAGAGCTTTTATGTGTGGGGAAAGTCTCAGTATTAGGTACACTGCCATCTCATTCTGCCCAGTTGTTAATTCTCAGTGTCTGTGCCATGACCTGGTACTGGTACAAAGCAAGGCATGTAGATATATTTTCTATGGTTTAGTAGATACATCCGTCTTTCTGAAGAACCAAAAGGCAAAGTAGGTAGTGCATGTGGTAACATAGTTGGGAAAAAAATTCTGGCATTTCCTACGTAACAATCATGGGTAAATTTTAAAAATTTTTTATTGGTACATAATATTTGTACATATTTATGGAGTACACATGATATTTTTGTTAAATGCATAGAATGTGTAATTACCAAGTCAGAGTATTTAGGGTATCCATCACCTTGAGTATTTATCATTCCATGTGTTAGGACCATTTCAAGTCCTCTATTGCAGTTATTTTGAAATACACAATGCATTGTCATTAACTATATCACCCTCCTCTGTTATCAAACATGAGAACTTATTTATTCTACCTAACTGTATGTTCGTACCCATAAAGCAACCTCTCTTTATCCCTTGCACCCCAACACA